GTCTCCTGGACAGCGCTGTTTGCATGGTTCCCCCTGATTTCATGAGCGGGATACCTGCAAAAAAGAAAAGGTTCTCCAACGCTCAAGTTAGTAAATGTTTAATAAATTTAGATGCACAACTTAGATCATCGTGGAGTCAAGGATTCCGAGTTCACTTCGAATGCGGAAGAACGACTCTTTCTCTAAAGGTTTTGTGAAAATGTCGGCTAATTGGTTGTGTGTTTCAACAAACTCAATTTCGACATCACCTTTGAGAACATGATCTCTAATGAAATGATGCCTAATGTCAATGTGTTTCGTCCTTGAGTGAAGAACGGGGTTCTTCGTCAAGCTTATGGCGCTAGTATTATCACAACGAAGAGGAACGTGATTGATACTAAGGCCATGTGGATATAAAGAGTTTCGTTGAATAACTCAAGACGTGAAGAATGGCTTGGAACAAGACCTAAAAGACTCAAGGACAAGATCAAGAATTGAAGACTTAGTCGAGTCGGTCTTTTGTGATCAAAACCGACAATAAATTCAAGTCTCGGTTCTCAAAAAGTCAAAACAATTTTTACAAATCACAAAATATTTCTTGTGCATCAAAACAAACATTTTTTTTATGATTCCTTTTATTGTTAAAATCCCTGGTCCTTGCTCAGAACCAAAACCACCTAAGTCGGCGTTCGGCTTTCGACGTTCAGCTTTCGGCGTTCGGTTTTTGGCGCCCGAACCAACTCTGTGGTTTTCAATTTTTTAAACCCTGTTTTTTTACCTCTGAGCATTTTTAAAATGTTCCCAAATAATTAATTTATAAAAACCACTTTTGTATCTTGGTCAATCGGTCTAACACGTGAAAAACGGTCTAAACCGTACGTACGTATTATACGACCTTGGAGACTTGGTTTTTACTAAACAAGTCTTGTTTTCACTATTTAATACCATATACAATATTTTCCAAACCTATTTTTTACTTTTGGGAACACTTCATTTTTGGACCTCGGTTTTTTAAAACGGGTTTCAGCTGGCTAGAATTTAGCTGGGTGATAATCGATTATCACCTTAGTGAAAATCGACTATCAGCCCCTGCAGCTTTGAACTTCCAAAGTTCTGAAGCACGCAATAATCGATTATCGGCTTTGCAATAATCGATTATCACTCTTTGCAGCCAAAACCCAGAATCTTCTGAGAGGACTAATAATCGATTATCACTTGTTGACAATCGATTATCTGGGTTACCGTTGTCCTCCAACGGATAGAATTTTAAATTTTTGGATAGGGAATCTTTGGATAATCGATTATCATGCTTTTACAATCGACTATCAGCCTGTGTCCCTGAAAAATTTGTCTTCATCCTGTTGGAAATTCTAGCAACGGGTTTATCCCATTTTGGGCTATAAAATGGCACCCAAATCCTCTCATTTGACACACAATTCTTCAACATTTCAATACTCTTTCATTGCAAAAGCACTCCTATTTTTTCTTAGCTATTTGAGAGCCAATTCTTGAAGAAATTGTCGTGTTCTTGAGCGTTTACTAGTTTACTCATATCTACTCTTTGTGAGAGTTTTATTCCTGAGTCTTTAAGTGTTTTCATACACTTTAAGGGAGGTTGTTCCCTTGTTGTAAACTCGAAGGAAGTTCCTTGTTCCTTCGTGAGAAGTCTTGGAGTGCGGTATCTCCGAGCAAAGGTGTTGAGGCTCGTGTGACTCAAGTTCTCAAGTTGTATCGGTTTGTTAAGCACCCTTAAGCTTAACGGAGTTAGTGTAGCTTGAGAGAGTCTCTCGGGGGGCTGGATTAGCCACACGTTGTGGTGAACCAGGATAAAATCCGGTGTGTTCCTTCCTTACGCTCTTTACTTTAACGCTCTCGTTTTAATTTCCTGTGATTTTGTTTTAAACGCTATTCACCCCCCCTCTAGCGTTGGGCCTTTATTCTAACAAATAAGACAACAAGTAAATAAGTAAATGAAGTTATAAAATAATAGAATAATTCTCAAATACGAAAAGCTACAAACAAAAATCTCATTTAAAAAAGAGATTAAATAAAGGGGGCAGATGAGAAAAAGAGGGATGTTGGGGTGGGGGTTGCACTGATCAGAGGAACTTAGTGTTAAAAAAAACAAAGAAGAAAAAAGGCAATGATACCTGGTGGAAGAAATGAAGACTGTAAACTAAGACAACTATAATTGTCGGCTTGTAGCTGAACGGGAGGGAAGTAGAAGATTGAATGGAGAAATGGAAGGGTGGCATTTTTGTTAATTGGCCCCTAGGTTTTATCAAAATAAATCTAGATTTTTACTATTTACATTGTGGTTTATTTTTTTATGGTACATTGTGCTTGTTAGAAAAACCAAAAAAGCAAAAATTTTCATAAAATCATGATAAAACCTGAAGCTTAAGCATTGTTTAAGTCTTGTGCCTTATGTGCCTCTGTATGCCTCATCCACTTAGGGCGTATGTAACACCCCAAAAATAGGCCTATCAGAGTTAATTAATTTATAATTAATTAATTACTGAGAAGGACCCAAAAATAAGTAAATTCTAAAGTTTGTCAATAAATAATGAAAATCATATCATTATGTAGAGTTTGACTGTCTGACCCCAACGCTTCAATCGGATTTCAATTTGGAGAAAGTTGGACCAGAAAGTGTACCCTAATTGGGAGCAGAAATTAGTCCCAATCAGGGACTACACTCCAATCGGCGCTCACTGTACAAACGGCGCACTATCCGATTTTGGTGACTCGGGAATATTTCATCCATGTCTTCTTCTCCTTCCTTCCTCTATTTAAGAAATCTTTATTCCCTCAATTCTTCACCAAATCATCCCAAAATTCTCTCTATTCTACTGCCTTGAGTGAGGAGAGCTTGCTGGTGTTTCCATTTCAGAGAGAGATCGCCGGAGTTGAGAGCTTTTGTCGCCGGAAGTTTCGCCGGAAAATTTCCAAAACCTCCATTAAGCTTCGAGGTAAGCCCCTAGATATATCTAAGGACTAGAATGTTCATATAGGTCGTTTCTATGTTCATAAATGGTCATTTGGTTGAGTTTTGTGTTTGACATATTTGAAGAACTAAGAATCAAAAACTATGAAATTGATGTTAAAATTATGAATTAATGATGCTAAAATGATCCATGAACCTTGGAGAACATTTTTATATACTTTAATTGAAGTTTGGTGAGTAAAAGTGACATTTCCGCAAGTTGGCTCGAGGTAGAAGACGATGGATAATCGATTATCAACTTGAAAATCGATTATTCATCGTTCTGCAGATTTTTGTAACAAAGCTGAGCAACAGTCGATTAT